TTTGTGAAAGCCCAGTTGGAGTGCAGTATGAGTTCATGTCTGTACAGCCTGGAATCACACTTAGTCCACACAGAGAGACAGGACGTCTATTTCAACTGCGTCCCTGTGCTTAATCCTTGCCTCAAACTACCTTTTGACCCTGGTGACTGATATATTTGGCACAGGACTGTGTGTTTGTATGGGTATCACATGGTCAGCGTCACTGAAGCTGCACTTCATCTCATTAATGCCAATCATTAAGACAATATCTCCAGGGCTCAAAGATGCTGACTGTTAATGGACAATGTAAGATCACTAGTGCATTCAGATGAGTCTCTTTAAGCTTTTGCTTTCCTCCCAGGAGCTAGTGCAATTTCAAGAGATACCAAATCCATCACTACATTGTCAGTCTGAGCTCTTCCTGTCCTCACTTGTAGAACAATTGAACAGTGTAACATTTGAACTGATTGAGGCTCTGCTGCTATCAGTCAAACCACATCACTCACCTGCATCTATCATGTTTGACCAGCTGCTCCTGTGATATTAGTGTCAGAGGTTTTGTGTTCAGAAATGTGCTCCAAGTGCAGGCTGCAGTGGTCTGGATGCTGCAGAGTGCGGTGTGCTGCACACGGGGATGCGCACCGTCCACCGCCGACCGACCGCGGGCAACAAATATTCATTCAACTTTACTCAGATTGTCGCAAAATCCTCGTCGCGAAATCGTCCGAACTGCTTTTTAAACATTTCCCCGAAAATAAACAGTTCAGCTTTAAGACGAACGCGTCAGCGACGTTGCCACCGTTTGACATCGCTGGTTCCCTCCCCGCTCCCGGAGGCGTCAACCCAATACAGAATAATGTGATTATTGGAGTCCTGCTGGCTGCAGACTGGACTGGAAACTCTAATCCAGATTAGACTCAAGAGGCCAACAGTTGAGAAAGCGACTCCTCCTCTCTGCTCTCTGCGCTCAGCGTTAAAACACACCAACCCTCCAGCCCCTCTGACACCGCAGTCCTCAGTACGCAGACTTATGTAATTTTACGACCTGGAAAAATTCATGCCAGTAACCGCTCAAAAGACTCTTATTTAAAAGCAAGAATACTTACTGCATTGATTATAAGCAACGTTATGAGTTGTCTATATGTCCAAAATCCCTTCCTAATTCGATTGTTTTGATTTTAATTCATTTTTTACCACATTTATTTTGTTTAATTATGGGAGATATCTGTAATCTTGGCCATCATGTACAGATATGAGGGATTGAAAGGAGTGGGATAAAGAGTAAAGGGAGGTCAGCAGCCAGCTTTTGCTCTTTTAGGATGTATGCATGGATTACTGCTTCCTGCTGATTCGACCATCAAAGCAGGGGAGCAGCCCAGACACTGTCAGGGAGGTAATAAACGCACAATTGCTCACTTTGCATGACCTGGCTTAAACTTGCTGGCTTCTACATTTTATGGACATGCCCAGTAGCATACAGATGCTGCACTTTTATTCTACAAAACAAAAATTCATGCTAAAAGAGAGCTTGATGTTGCTGACTTCAGTAATTGTGGGAGTTATTAATATTTGTGAATATTCTTTGATTATTGGTTCAAAGGCTGATGCAATGTGGTATTGGTTCTTTATAGCAAATTACAGAAATAAATCAATAACCCAAAGGCAGTTCCACACTATTAGAACACTTTCTCTTTTGCATTTCTTTGGTGGGAGGGTTAGGGTTAGGGTTACATTAGTTTTATGAGAAACACAGTTGCCACAGTAGACTTGACTGACTAGGAGTGGCTGCAGGGTGAAAAGGTGTGTAACAGCGGTATTGCATACATGCCTTAAATGATGTGTGGTAGATCACTTCTCAGTGTCAGCTAATGTTACTGACAGCTGTAGGGATCCTGTGCCCCCCAGTCTAACTCATAAATAACTCTGGTGTGTCTGCTGCCACCTGTTGGCCAAACTGCAGAAAGAAAATTTCATTTAGAGCAGCTGGAAGAGCAGCGACTACCTCCTGATATGGGTTCCCATCCACAGACTGCAAAAAGGCTTTTTACTGTCCCATTATTAGTGTGTTTAAACTTATTGATAACATGTGAAATGGAGAATATGAAATTACTTTTGGTAGGCTTTTTCTGTCTGTAAATCATTAACTGCTTCATTTTTTTTCATTTTCATTTTGAGATGACCACAGGTGTAAAATTATTTCCCACATGTTTCACAACTATACGGTCTCTCCCCTGAATGGGTCCTCACCTGCACAATCAGGAAGGTTTTCCCACAGTCTTTACATTTAAAGTCTCTAATCCCTGTATGTAATTTTAAATGTATGTGTAGACACCCGGGGTTTGTAAAGTTCTTGCCACAAACATCACAAGAATAGTGTTTATTGTTCATTTCACAAGACCCTTGTGTGTCTGGCTGATCTTGCTCACGGTTCACAACTTCAGGAGAAGGAAAAATAACCTCCTGTGTTAGGCGGCCATCCCCGAGTTCCTTGAAGTCAATCAGAACAAAGCACATGTTCCCATCATCCTTTTCTGTATTGGGTTTGGTGGTTTGAGAGGAGCCAGTGACTTCAGCTAGACTCAGATTAGACTCTTCTTGTCTTACTGTGTCCTGCAGCCCTCCAGTCTCACCACTGTTGGTCAGAGGAGGTTCTGTAGCTACAAAAGAATTAAGAAAATTAAACCATGTTATACAATAATATATCCAAACTCACCAGTGACGTTTTCAAAGCAGCACAATCCACCAGTTGTTGTTGAAATATTGTTGTCCAACATGGGCACCTCTTCTGTCCGAAGTTATTTAAAAGAAAATCGATTAATAACACAATTTCCCAATTTACTTGACTAACTAAAGTGGCTTTCTAATTTTAGACTGAAAAAAAATTAAGGCAACAGCTGCCAGCATTCCTGCAAGGTGTGGTCACATGAATGACGTATATACGTAGATATACATATATGGGTGACCAATTAAAGGAAAAAAACAATATAAAGTGTGTCTTAGTGAGGTGTTGGGCAGGTCTCTGGTCTCTGGAACTCTACTGGAGGGATGAACACCATTCTTCCAAAAGATATTCCCTCATTTGGTGTTTTGATGATGGTGTTGGAGAGCGTTGTCTAACAAGTCCGTCAAAGATCTCCCATAGCCGAAGAAACAGAGCCACCAGACTCCCTCACTGTTAGGGGATCTGGTCTGACAAAATCTGAATCAGTTAGACCTACTCAACATTTTTATGCCTGCCACAGAGCTTAACTGTACCACACAGTTCACCTGGGTGGAAGCATCTGCAATTGTTGGGTTTCTCCACTTGTTTATTGAGGATTTTCCTTTTAATATGTGACCTGTCTGTATATACACACACTGGCACTAAAGAGTTTGTGTGTCAATAATGTGAACAAAACATTCACCTGTGTGTGTGTGTGTGTGTGTGTGTGTGTGTGTATAACATGGTGAGAGAGTGGACATAGTTGTTGCTGAAATCAATTACACATTTGGTTTCTGTTTTAGAGTCAGTAGGAATGTTGTCTCCTTTTTACAACAGGTCAATATAGGTTTGTATGCATTAAAAAAAAAACTATGTCGAGGTACAATACTGCTAACAACAACTCATAATGATGTCGATCTTTATAGTGCATTATTAGAACAAGTATTTGCACAGAAATATGACTTTATTACAGTAAGGAGAGTAATTGTTACTTCCACTCCTCCACAACAATAACATTAATTTAAAACATTTGGATTATATATATAAATCCAAATCCTCTGTTTTGTGGTTTTAAAATGATAAAGTTTTACACACCCTTACACATTCTGTGTAACTGTACTTCAGATTTCCAGATGATATCCAGCAGTCTCTCTCAAACACTCAACTGCAGACAATGTTGCTTCATTACAGAGATAATTAGCCACAATATCCTCTTCCTGCTAACTCAACGGTGAATGCAGCTACTGTTATTAGCTAGTGTTGTTTACTTCTGCTGGATGTCACACTGTTTTAAATTTGGGCGGTTCTTCTTCTTCTTCGGGTGTTTTTATTGCGGTTGGCAAACCATCTTACATGTGCATTACCGCCACCTGCTGGACTGGAGTGGAACAGTAGATTGGCAGGAAAAAAACAAACAAATGACTAAATTCTCTCTATTATTCCTGTTCTTTTTATATAATTAAAGGATTTTGTACTTTCCATGATTTCTTTTGAAGTAGATTTCCTAATGTAATATTGTGTCCCTCATCAAATGCGGATACTAATTCCCTCCTTTTCTTGGTCATATTTGCTGCTGTCTATTAATACACGTTTGAGTGCATAGTCCACCCAGAGTGCCTGTGATATGGAGTGTGTGATTTAATCCTGTGTGTCCTATTCTCAGACGGGTGATGACTATCTAGCTCGGGAGCTTTTTGTTCCTACCTTGCTTCTACTACTACTTCTACTTTTACTACAGCCATCTTTGTTGTTTTTTTAACCTCCCAGATAATTATTTTGCATAAATAAAACAAATGAGCAGTGGTGGATAAAGTATGCACATTGTCTCAGCTAAATGTGATGTATGTTCACTGGTTAGTAAAAGGTTCAAAAACAGAATAGGCTTATCCCAGGAGTCACGTTGTCCAGGCTTCGTGGAAATTGTAGTTGTTGAATGCCAAAAAAAAAAATCTGTTATTTTGATTAATTTTTTTAATTAATTTTTTTAATTTGTTTTTGCTCGTTTGCAGTTCAGAATTAAATTCGGTTTCAGATTCAAAACAATCAAATCAAACAAAAACCCTAAAACTTCTAGCAAGTTACAATATAAAATTTTACTCAAAGACAGCTTTCAGTTTATAGCAACACACAGACACATTAAAAGTCAAATCCACATATATCATCCAGAATATCTCCAAAAACTTGTAATAACATTGATTTTAATACCACGTAGGGAGCTTTGTGCCGGGTATAAGACGTTTGGACCGACAGAAGGACAATATCGGTGTAAATATTTTGACCTGATGGCCAAAGCCAGGAAAAGATAAATTGACCACAGTAATGTGATATGACAGGATATTAAACTTTATTGTCCCCAATGTGGAAACTTGGTTTCACCATAAGAAGACATTACACAGAACAATATACAAAAATGCATACATGAAATGTATTGCACTGTGGTGGTCAAAGTTTAATTGGTCTTACCTACAGGGATCAGATAACCTTCTTGGTATTTCAGCAGTTTCAGCCATGGAAATAGAAACCTAAAGGGAATTATTATGGATTTTGTTATGTCAGGTTATGGTCTTCCAATAGTTCTTCAAAATAAATTTAACACATAAAAAACAGGACGTTCACATTGTCAAAAATGTTTTTGCATGTTCACGGGAGAAAAGAAAATCCTTGGCATAAGATGCATAGCCTAGATGACATCAATTTAACACCATCAGCTAAGTGCAAACAATCAGTGTGTGTAAATGTCTGCCTGGTAGATCTAATTCTTATTCTTGCCATCACTAAAACTGTTTGCTAATATTCCACAATGAATGTCGCCCTTGTGGAGTATTAGCCCATAGAGCTCTTAACATAATTTCAAAACACCCACATTAGACCTGATGTCAACACTGTGTGTACACCAATGGTACACCTACAGGTGTTTTCACTTTTCTTGCCTGACTAGACTGTGTGGGCATCTGCTAAATTTTTCCCTTATGGTGCAGCCAGACTGCATTTTGTAAAAATAGCTTGTAAAAATACACAGCCGCAGCAGTCCACACAGTTGTAAATTATACAGATTTTACGTCCTTAATCTCTGTCAGTGTCTTCACACACACTACAGCCATGCAGCATCCTTCCTACTATTTTGCCATGCGGTTGTTAATATCTGCTGAATAAAAACTCTGTCGCACCCTGTCTCTCAAACTGGCATTGCAGAGCTTTGCAATTTCCCAATCAGACTGAACTTTGCAATAAATGAAAGAGGCAGGGGAAATTTGGAAAACCAAAAAATTTTTTTTTTTATAAAAGTATGATCTCAACATATTTCCCTCCCCCGTTAATCTGAAGATAGACAAAGGTGACTAAATGTTCTTGGTGAGATGAATTATCTCAAGTACCTCAGCATATACTGAGTCCAGTAGCTACATGACATGTGCCAAATCAAATCAAAACGTTCTAAACGTTCTGAAACGGCTGGCAGGAACTTAAATGTATGAGATTTAAAATAATTAATCACAGCAAACAACTATTTGCTATCTAAAGACATTATAGAGTCATGGTGTCCTGAGCCTGTGTGTGCTTTTTTTTTTTTTACAAAGGCGGTCTGGTCATGCATGCATGTTAGTGCTTGTGAGTCCCTCTCTTCCCAACTGAGGAGAGCGACTGACAATAACTACGTTGAGGACTTCGACCAAGCCAGAGTTGCTGATTGTTGTAACAGTGGAAAGACTAATAAAGACATTTTTGTGAGTTTTATTTTGTTTCTGTCCACTTTGAATGAAGTTAAAATGTTACAATAAAATGCGAGTTAAAATTACTGTTTTTGTCTATGGAATCTGGTGGCGATTGATTTGATGGCTGTTTCTGGTTGAACAAATTGTCTATCTCTCTAGGGATCTTTTCCATAATGTTTCCAGACAATTAGAATAACAATCTGACAGTCAGTGTCAATAACAAGCACTTTCAGTGGCCGTAATTTAACGGGCACATTACATGGCAGCCCTAGCAACCAAACTCGAATTAAAGGTTGATTGTTGGAAAGATGAACAAAGACATTTGGGTGAGTTTTATGATTACCTGCAAGGTAAAAGCATTTGCTTTGTCTATGGAGTCTGGTGGACTGTAGCACCTATTTGTTTTGGTCTGAGATTCTGAGATGGTCTAGTGCAAAATATAGTAGTATCGGCGAGTTTCGTATATATATATATATATAAAACCTTTAAGTACATTTGCTTTGTAGTCATGAATGGCCAACAGGTGAGTTATGCTATCTGTCCATCTGGTTAACGGTTGTCACTCACCGGCTGGCTTTTCATGAGTTTGCAGATGCACCTTAAGATTAGGTGCAAACCTGTACCTCATACCACAAACATGGCAGGCATACGGCCTCTCTCCTGTGTGCGTTGTCCTGTGTCTACTCCTCTGTCCGCTCTGGCTAAAACGTTTACCACAAATATCACACTGGTACGGTTTTTCTCCTGAATGGTATCTCATGTGCGTTTTAAGGTGACTACTAGTGTTAAAAAGTTTGCCACACAGGCCACACTGATATGGTCTCTCCCCTGAATGACTTCTTTTATGAATTGTTAGGTTCTGGCTCTGACTGAATGCTTTTCCGCAAACATCACAGTGATATGGTTTCTCCCCAGAGTGGGTCCTCACATGCACAGTCAAATGCTCTCTTCGGTAAAACGTTTTGCCGCATTCTTGACACATGAACTCTTTTGTGCCTGTGTGTATTCTCTCATGCAGCCGGAGACAGCGGTTATTGGCAAAAGTCTTGCCACAAACGTCGCAAAAATGTGTTTTGTTGTGACAACTTTTCAGATGAGTTATCAGCTCTTCTGTGGACTGGTATGCCATCCCGCAAACGGTGCAATCAACTGTGTTCTCGTGTGTTTTTATGTGCTTCATCAAAGAGCCGATGTACTGGAATCCCTTTCCACACAAATGACAAAAACTGCGACCCTTTTCGTTTTTATCGGAACATTTGTCATTTGCTGTTTGGACCTTCTTATCAGTGCTGCCAATTTGTCCTTTCTTTCCTCTCCGTTTCATCGTTTTTATCTGTTCTCCTTTGCTGGGCACCGACTCGTCTTCATCGTCGTTATTGTCCTCACTCTGGGCCGCGGAGCAGTCAGAAGAAACCGGCTGCATTTCATAGGACGCTTGTGTCTCTGGCTGCTCTTGCTCGCTTTTTACAACTTCAGGAGAAGGAAAAACAATCTCCTGTGTTTGACTGTCATCCCCAAGTTCCTCTTGTTCCTGTTTTATCTGAGACATCTTGAAATCCGTCTCAACCAAGCAGCATTTCCAGTTATTATTATCCATATCTGCGCTGGTTTGAGAGGGTCCTGGGGCGTCAGCGCTCAGACTGAAGGTAGAGTCTTCTGGTGTTGAGGGTCCTGGGTTCTCCTGCAACAGTGGGCCTTCACATTTGTCTCCACGTTCCACTGTGCCGCTGGTCAATGAAGGCTCTTCAGCTACAAAAGAGATAGGAGCAAAAGTTACCCAACAGCCTGTTAGGTTTTTCAAGAAAGTCTTAAAGATATATATATATAAAGAAAAACTCCAATTTGCAAACGCTGCTTCAGAGAGTTTCTGTCAAAGTGTTGATCACTTTACTCTGAAGATGTACAGTTTTAAAACACTCCGCTGCAGCTTGTAGAATAATGTTACTTGAATGGATAGCACTTACATAGCACTTTAAACCATTCACACACTGATGGCAGATGTAAGGTCTTATTCTGTTTATGAGAAACAGAAACTAATCCCACTTAGACTGCTCAAGGACACTGCGACATGCAGTGGGAGGGCCCGCGGATCGACCACCAATCTTCTGATTAGTGGCTGACACGCTCAACCTCCTGAGCCACAGTGACAGTGGATTATGTGTGTGTGCATGTGCAAACCATTGGGGACCAACATCCATAGCTATACAGTGTGGGAGAAAAACCTTTAGGTGGGTCAGACGTCTTCAGTCACACCTGAGTCACCCTCCTAATGGTGTCAATTGTCCCACGTGTGGGAAACCAATTTTACCTGTATGGATTGGAATATGTGTAATCAACGCGATAATACAAATTATATATATTAAAGATTTATATTTAGATTATACCACTGACATTTTCAGGTACCACCAACAGTAACCACAACAAGGCATCTACCTCAGTGTGAGGAGCTGAAAACATAATAGATGTCAAAATAAAGTAGAATAGAAGTAGGACAGGTAGGGGTCTTAACATACGGCCAACAAGAGGGAGGAGCATGTAATGGGATGAAAGATGAGGATAACACACACACCTGAGTTATGTTAGTTCCTCCCAGCTCGGTTTGCTTTGTTATCTGCTTTTGGAAACTACATTAAAACTACTTTGCATTGAACTCCATTTGATACAAGTATTTTATTGTTAAATCATTGTGAGAGGATCTGAAGACATCTGGTCCAGCTGAAGGTTTTCTTCCACAACTTACAGATGCATGAAAGCACTCTCTTATTTCCTGTCACCACTGTTTACTGTTAACTATTATTATACTATTATGAATAGTAATACTATTCTAAAAAAAAAAGTATATTATAAAAAAACATCTTTACTATATGAGTTATGATTTTGATTACTATGTTGATCATACTTTACTCTAATCCACACAGGTAACATTTATTTCCCACCACACTGCTTTAATAACAGTGTAAAGACACATTATTTCTCCCAGACCTGGTCTCTTTCGCAGGATGTCTAGCTGGTGTCGCAGACTTTCAACCTCCTCTTTAGATCGACTAACTTCGGCTTCGTACAGAGCTAACGTTATGGTTTTCTCCACCTCCCCGAGGATCTCCTCCGCCGCCGTGTACAGCCGCTGATGGACGAACGACCTCAGCTGAAACATCGTGGTGTCCATGTCTCCGGAGAGAGGTGTGGCACAGACACATCCGCGGCGGTAGCTGGATAGTTAGGGAGATAAAGTCAGCTATAACCTAGCTCCAAAATAAAAACCCTGTCAATACCTAACAGTTTGTCATCCGCCAGCAGACAAGATATTACTTCCGGTTTGAATCCGTTCAGAATAAAAGCGGCAGTGCCAAATAGAGGTGGATAAAGTACAGTGGTACAGGCAAATAACAACATTAAAGGTGGAGATAACACATAAAATGGAACAAACCTAAACTGTATTAAGCTAAATTAGAAACTGATCTAGCACCATAATTACTAATAAATACTCCGTATATAGAAACCATGAAACTTTCCAAGTTTTTTGACAAATAAAGGCAGGTCTCAATTTGAAGCCTGGGCTGGATTTTATAGTTATTTGGATCAATCAATCAATCAGTCAGAATCAGACTTTATTTGTGTGGCACTTTTCAAAACCCAGTCATTGTTTCATCATCATAATCACTTTTATTGGCCAGGTACGTGCACACATACAAGGAATCTGACTCCGGTTTTACGTTGCTCTCAATGTACAAACACAGACTGACAGCATAAATAAACAGAACAACAAGTTAAACAAAAAAGACATAGACATATGTACAGTTATACATACATAAACAAACAAAAAACAATAACATATGTAGACAGTAGACAATAGTGCAAAGGATGCTGAAATAAATATTTTACATGCAGGTTTTCTTTATGTACATGAGGTAAGTGGATGTGACAGTAAAATGTAGATCTACTAGAGTGATAGTATTTATGTTTTCTGTTATTTAAAAAACTGAATTTATTTAAAAAGTTTATTAAAAGATGACTGATTTATGAGTCAAAAATATGAAATAAAAAAAAAGGTAATGTGGCAGAAAAGTTCTCAGATTTTATTTTGAAGGCCCCAGTGCGCACACCGGAAGTCTTATTGTTGCCAGCGGACTGTTTCTGCGTGTTGAGAGAAGTTTCTGCGACAAACACCGCAGCCGGATCATAAACACACCGACCTGAAGGAAGAGGAATGTCGTTTTGTAGTTTCTTCGGCGGGGAGGTCTACAAAGACCACTTTAAACCAGGTACCTGCATGACTTTAACTTCTTCTACTTCATTAATAAAAACATCGGTGCGACGGATGTTCAGAGACCGTTTAGTTAAAGTGGAGTTAACTAATAGCTAGCGACTGTTAGCTAACTATTCATTGTAACGACTGAGTGACTTTACAAACAACAAGTGTAGGTCGGATAAATTATTTACTGCAGGTTGAGTGTCCATAAGAGCTTTTAGGAGGGGTTGACACTGTACACATGGTTACAGGATATTAAACGGACAGGTAGAAATGTTTAAAAAAACCCTTGTTAGCTAACCTGGTTACATTTTGTAACCCGTGGTTCAGGTTACACAACAACTCTGTTACAAAACTGGATGTTAATCAACAAATGAGTTAAGTTCCTCTTCAAAAAAACAGCCTCAAACAAATACAAACACAATTACATTACAACATTATCTATACAAAATATTTATAGGGAAACATAAAATAAAATGTTTTATATAAATATGATTTATTCCTTCAAAATAAAATGTAGCGGACAGAAAGAAAATGGGGATGCACAATTAAATTTAATATCGCAATATGTAATTCGCTGAAGCTACAATTTCTTTATAAGCTTAATAAACTAAATAAAACAAAAATTGAGGAAAAATATAATTAAGTATATACAAATATTGTTTCTCCAGATTTAAGAAAACGTGTTTTTGTTTTGGTACAGACCCCAAAAAATTCACATCATTATGATTCTAAAAGTGTTTTCTGTGATTTGCACACTAATTGTGAATCACATTGCAATCATAATGTCTGCAATATGATGTTTTTACATCAATCTGTACACTGTAAATGATACAAGGTGTCTGTGATAGGGTCATTCTAAACAACTTCTGTAGTTGTATTAAAATAGTTCTCTCGTCATGTCACACACCAGCCATCATCTCCAATCCTTTAACTCCTCAGGGATTTATGTATGTTCCAAGTGTGAGCATCAGCTGTTCTCCAGCCGCTCCAAGTACGAGCACTCGTCTCCCTGGCCGGCCTTCACAGAGACCGTCCACGGGGACAGTGTGTCCAAACATCAGGAGAGACCTGGGGCGTATAAGGTACAGTCAGTAGAGATTTACTTTGTTTATTGAATTTATCAGAGGACGCTCAGTGTACGTCTACTATATTAATTTCTAGACACACAATTTAATATTTGTAGATTCAGTATAACAACACCTGCTGTAAGTTACTAGCTGTAGCCAAACTACTAACTCTGAAAAGACTAGTGAAGGACCTGTTTAATGCATTTAATGAAATGTGTAATGTGTTGTTCCAGGTGCGGTGTGGGAAATGTGGAAACGGACTTGGCCATGAGTTTGTGAATGACGGGCCGGCCAAAGGGCTATCTCGCTTCTGAATATTCAGCAGCTCACTGAAGTTCGTCCCTAAAGGTACAACGATCAGATTTTAACACAACACCGGGTTGTAGCTAATGCTAAACTAACTTTGTTTAATTGGCTTTGTGTTTTTTTGGCCCTAGTTATGCATATATGTCAGCTTTAAAGAAGCAGATAGCATATAGAGCTAGACTGATAATCAGTTTGGCCACTATGTCTACAACTTACATTTCATTGTACAGCCCTGTGTTGTAAAATATCAAATTATCTTGATTCCATGATTGTTGTCGGCCAGTATTAGCCTATTGTTGGGCTGCACGATATGGTAAAAATGTCATATTGCAGTTATTTTGACAGATACTGCAATTGCGATATGATTCACAATTAGTGATCATTATTGCATCAATGCTTTTACTTTTTACTAAAAAAAAACTACTAAAATCATGATGATGTGATGTGTAATCTGTTGGAGTCTGTAGTACCAAAGAAACATGTTTTCTTTAATCTATTTTATTTTATATTATTTGTAGACCAGGGCATTTGTTCAGAGCTACAATACTTCATTATCATGCTACTTTCACACATTTTAGCTTTATCAAACAATTGCCGCTTCTTGCGATTTGGATATTGACCGTGGCCATGTGGCGATTTCGATAATATTTTCAATAATTCTATATTTATTGTGTGATAAGTAAATTTATTTAAGAATTTACAGTATAGAAATACCAGAAATCTCTCCATTGCATTACAAAAGGTCTGACATTTTTTTATTTAAGTGATGCTTATTGATAATGTTTGTTTATTTTATGTGTTTATGACTGTTGGCCCACATATCTGTGTCACATTTTTTAACTTTCAAATATTGATTTGTTATTGGCTTTAGAGATCCAATATCAGTCAGCATATAATTTCTTATTTCCACTGAACACCTGTTTAACAAGTTATTGATAAAAAATAATTTGAAGGATCAGGATCACTCTAAACTCTGTCCTAACAATATAACTCTGCAACCAATAAGAGACATTTATATGGAGGTATAGCTCAATATATTTATTTTTCAGGCAAGGTAGACATGTAAGTGTCCCCCACAGTCCTTACAGACAGAACAGTTACCAGTGTAGACCGTCTCCTTTAATTTCACAGAGTGGAACCATTACAGGGTGATCACTTTATATTGAATTATTTATTTAGCAGTTGTTTAGTCTCAACCTAACCAAGACAGAGTTAAGCTTAGATGCATTGGCTATAATGTACGACCTGTGAAATGTCTTTATTCTCACACAACCCCACCCCCCCCCGCCTTTCTCCCCCCTCCCAACAGATAAGGTTGATGGACAGTAAAGTGAGCCGCCAGATTAAAGTGCTGCTGGACTTGTAGACTTGTTGCTCTGGGCTGCTGAAGGTGCGGACAGCGGATGAAGAGTTCCGGGACAAAGCCCAATCTGGGAGAACCAGGGCTCTGATGAATGATCGTCTCACCGGACAGCAATAAACAGACGACTGGTCTCAACACCCTTTTTTTATTATGCAACTATCTCAATCTGCAGGAGAGCCTCAGTGATAACACAATCGCCATCTCATCAGTTTGACATTTCCTGAGTTTTATTTATAGGGATTGTCTAAATAGACCTATCATGATTTTCTTAATCTATTTCTTACTGAGAGACTGTTTGTTTACTTTGACACATTGACCTTTAGTTGTTATGCTGTCCCCAAAGTGTAGACAATGTGGGGGAAATTACCAGCAGACAAAATATTGATTTACTATTAAGAGGCTGGTGAATTTGAACAGTTATCTGTCAGTGACTGGTAGATGTTCACATTTTAATAGATATAAAACATTTCCTACCCTGGTATGAGTCTAGATTAAACTTTTCCAAAGATTACTCACGGTATTTTAAGATTTAATTAATCAACAATGGCCTTTACCTACAATGTTTGGTGTGATGATGCAGACAATGCAATACATACTATTTTCACTTTTGAGAAGCTTTATGTAAATGGATCACAATGACTTATATGGAAAGAACTGAAATAAATATATTTTAAATTAAAATAAAACAATACTTTGATCAAACAATTAATGTGTATATTCTTTTTTTTTTTTTTTAAATGGTTGTCACTTTTTATACTGACTGGATAGTTTCAGTGCTTTATATATGAACAAATGTAGGACAGATGGAGTCAGTTGTGCTGGACAGAACTGGTTTTCAGGTTTTACCAACTCGACTGTCCTCTTTAGATGAGAATATAATATGAAGCTCTTTTCCTGTTGACATAAAACCAGGTCGGCTCTTATCTGGTCACATGTTTTCATAATTATTTAATCATGACTTGGGTGTGTATGTCGGTAGTTAGTTATATAATATTATATTAATTGATGATGATATGTGGAATAATGTTATTTTTAAGGTTTAAAACATTTTTGGCTCACTGAACGGTCTATAACAACACTACTACAGCTCAGTGCTGCCATCAAGTGGAAGTAATGAGATCTTACACAAGGAAGGCAGAGCTGTTGACACTTGATCTGGACGTGCAGGTTCGTTCCAGCTTAAGCCGGGTGACTTCTTTGTGAACATACGCTTCAAACGACAGAGAAATTAGGTTTTTAAGACATTTCGAAATGGATGAAATGTCCTATTGCTCTTTCTCTGGTGGAGAAGAATACAAGAATCACTTCCAACCTGGTGAGAAGCAAAAGAAGCATGCAAATAAAAGTCCAGAAAGTTCTTTAGTTGTCCATTCATTGATACTTGTTGTCCTCTCAGGCATATATGTGTGTTCTGAATGTGGGCACGAGTTATTCTCCAGCACGTCAAAATTTGAGCACTCTTCTCCTTGGCCAGCCTTCTCAGAGACCATCCATGAGGACAGTGTCTCCAAACACCCTGAAGCATGGGGACCCATAAAGGTAGATCTGCTGAATGATTGTTATAATAAACACTGTACTTTTTACTAATCATGTGATCAATAGAGTTTCTTCTTTCTTTAAATATAAAAATAGGTCTGTTGTGGGAAGTGTGGCAACGGATTGGGCCATGAGTTCTTGTACGACGGACCAAAAGAAGGGTTGTCACGTTTCTGAATATTCAGCAGCTCCCTGGTGTTCGTCCCTAAAGGTGTCTTTCACACACACACACACACACACACACACACACACACACACACAGAACATTACCCTGCTGCACCCTTATCATGCACCTTTAAACCACTGTTCTTTTTGTCCTCCTCTCTCTCCACAATAAAGGTTGATGGACCGAAAGGTGAGCTGTGAAAGAGGAGAAAGGTTTCTGCTGCTGGAGGTGTGGACAGTGGATGAAGTGCTCTGGGATAAAGCCTGATGGAGCTCCAGAGCTCTGATGGACGGTGGCCTCACTGGACAGCAAGAAAAGAGCCGGTCTCAACTCACTTTTTTAAAACCAAGAGCATAAAGACACACAAAAACAGCAACACACATAAATTCAACCACATTAAGTTGTTACTGTACAGCTGTACAGAAATACTATATATTTAACATGCTGCCCTGGCAAAGGCTTTAAAGCTGCAGTAGGTAACTTATATAAGAATAACTTTTTGTCATATTTGCTGAAACTTTCACTTTATTGTAATACGTGACCTAAAGCACTGGTATTTGATGGCTATTTTTATTGGCTCTGATTGATTTTTTTTTTTCTATGCATGGTGGATTCTTGCAAATGTCATTAGGAGTAGCTTACTAGGAAGAGCCAGAGGAACCTGACCTGTCTCGTGTACAACTGTCAGGAGATAGTGAAAGTTTAAGCAATTATTTTTATACAAGTTACCTACTGCAGCTTTAAGATGTTTAACAGTCTCATTAGGATTGTAAGTCAGTTTTATTTATTATTTAAACACCTCAGAGCAAATTAACCTCCCACTCTGGATCTATGAAAATATATTGAACACACTGTAGAGACTTCATAACCTTAAAACAGTGTAATGGCATGCTTCCATCAGTTGATGGTGCTATATGCCCTAAAAGAATCTTTAATGAACTGCATTGATAAACCAATGAGTGCATTACAGTGGATGTAGTTTGTTCTCAAATTGAATAAAGTGAATAAAGAACCTTCTTTCTTATGGCCGACAACAACAAACCAATACCAACAGTTCTGCTGTATTATCCATTTTCAGTTGCATTTAATTGAGTAATTGTAAAAGGATTCCTAAATGCTGCTTGCAAAAAATAAATAAATGTTTATCACCAAAAAACCTATAGTTTGTGACATTCTTGCTGAAATCCACTAAATAAAGAGTACTGTAAATATCTGAGCAGCGTTTCTCCAGTGCACAACGCTGCTGAGCAACAGATACCCACTTGCCGTCTTCCACGTCATGGCAGGGGGCCTATTTTAGGAAGTAGATCCTAAAGTTATCTGGATGTGTTTGCTGAGTAAAGCTCAGGCCTCAGTCCAGACTTGATAGAGCGTTTTTCTCCTCAGCAAAGTTTTCCAGACAACTCCTGTAACCCTGCTTCTTGGCTTGTGGTGTGGTGGAATTATAAACAAAGGGAGGGTGTGGGGGTACGTTCAACAGCTCTTGTGCTGTATAAATGTCTGGGGACAAGCAGGTGTGGAACCGCTCATTTCAAAGGCTGGAAGATCAGAAGGGGGAGATGAAAGCTGCGGCGTCAGGCAGAGGATTAAGAAAGGAAGTGCAAACATTCGTGGATTGTAATGATGTAGAGAAGCATTTAAAGCAAAGACTGTTTTGTGCATTTGATGTGATGATGGTTTTGTCTGCAAGGTATGAATTCACCTCAGGGGGAGCAGATGTCGCAAATGTGCTTTGTCCCTTGTATTTAAAGAAGAGTATTGTTTTTAAATGTAACTTTTTTTTGGCCTAAAATGATGAAGACTGTAGATCATTTCAAGTCCCTCTGGCTTCAAGTTGAACGGCCGAGCTACTCCACCTCATGAAACCTCAATGTAAGCTCTTCATTAAACTGAGTAATACCTTCCTTGTGAGTGATTTGATGTCTTTGTCATGGATTCTCTGTTATATTTCCACACACACACACACAGCTGGCACACAGACTAAACTGTCCTCGGGGGTGACGTCTGGAAGAGGAAGGGAGAGTTAAGAGAGGGTGGAAGAGTGACAAGACTCAACAACAGACAGACAAGAGACCTAAGTACAAAGATAAACCACATGTGAGAATGAGAGATGGAGCGGAAGGGGAAATTGCCCAAAACACGGGACTGTAATTAACATTTGCTATCTGCGAGAACACTCTTTTTTCTGGCTGGCATCGGAGCACAGCTGTATGGCCAAGAGGAAGTAAACAGGAAAGAGGAAGTGGTAATCCTTTGATAGCATCACAAGAGATCGACTCAGATCCACTGACCTCTGGGGCTCATCCTGCTCGTATAAGCATCCTATAAGGATCCTTAATTACATTAAACCACTACTACTCCAAAGACTTCCCCTTCCCCAAAGGCAGAGCCTCGAGTTACATCTAAACATGTGTGTGTGGGGTGTGTGTGTGTGTGTGTGTGTGTGTGTGTGTGTGTGTGTGTGTGTGTGTGTGTGTGTGTGTGTGCCACTGACTCATTCGCAGGACATCTTGTTTTAATTTGAACGTATATGAGCCTGTTGCTTAGATGTGGATGTTTAAGGGCGCTGCACCTGCTTCTGTTTTGAGCCGCGGAGAAAAGTGTCTCATTCCACACGACATTATATCCAGTTCATCAAGGTAGTATTGCCTAAAAACATGTGTCATCCAGTGGCTCCCGCTTCACACACTGCAGAGGCTGTGATCACTCTGTGGCAGGAATAAAGCTCCCGTATGCGTGACTCTAAGAGAAATAGAGAAAAACGCCTTTCATCAGGGAGTAATATCTGCCGTATGTGATGTCTTCATCCATACATGCCCTCCACATGTTATAGACACACATATGCCGGCCAAACATCTCCTCCTGTGTAATGAATAAAAGGATAAACAAAAGCTTTTTATACATAACGCTGGAATGTGATTTCCGCTCCGGATCAAAGGGGGGTTCTGGAAAACTTGAGGCAGGTTGGGCATTGTTGTAATTCTGTCAGGACAACATGTGTTTCAAAGAGACGGGGCTTACAAAAAACCAAAACAAAATGAGAATATCTTTGCTCGTCCTGTCTGAAAAGGCCCAGCAGTGAACCACAATGTAAAATGATATTTAGTTTACTGAGCATATAAACAGATTTATATATATATGAAATGCATATCTTGACAGGCCGTATTGGTTATAAACACTGTAAATGTGGAATGAGGAGTAATAAAAATACAATTACATTAGGGAAGAAACAATGAAAAGCCTCAAATTTCTGTCCGTTCCAACAAAATGTCAACAGTTTAAACATGTGAGGGATCGTTTTGCCGAATGCAAACTCGCACTGCAAAGCCAAAAAGCAGCATGTAAAACCCCAAGTATGAGGGCTCCCAGTCAGTGAGAAAATAAACAATATGTGAAATCTTCAATGGCTTCTGTGGCCTTATTGTCACCTTTATCACACGATCACATTCCTGTTTCTAAGCTCCACCAGCTTCAATAACACAGAGGGGTTTTTGAACATATATGTATTTGCAAACATGGCCCAGTATCTGCACTCAGATCTGTTTCAGGGAGATAGGACCCTGAGACAGCAGCATAAGTTGGTCTGAAAGCTTCAAAGGGAATACTTGAGGTGTGTGGCACTGGTATTGTTCACGCAGATCAGGGAGAGGGGTCCTTGTTTTCGGGGGATGCTGGATTGACCGTGGGATAAGAGAGAAGGTTTTGAAGCAGGAGAATAAGACTGACTGATTGTGTGCCCACATGTCAACTTTCATCCTCCCTTGATCAGAGACTATGGGTTTGAATTACCTTGAAGGTGGGCACAGTAATCCAGAAACTGTGGACACGCTGTGCATCATGTGAAATTACTATTCTTATGCTTTAGTTTTGCTGTGTGAGTCAGAATCAGAGGCTTATAAAAACAATCAAATGGAGCCTCAGATAAAAGCGCGCCAGAGGCAAGGAAACATTTATCAAACGCGCCGTCTTCTGAGTATGGAAATATCAGGATGGTTTTGGATTT